GAAGAAGCCTAGTGGTCGTGTGGTCCTTGTGACAAATATGACAGTTGTGTAAGGGTGGTTCCCGCATTTCCCGCCCAACTCTGCACGATTGACACCCCATATACCACTTCATAGGAATATATATATATCCGTCCATATAGACAATTATTTGCCTGGTTTATGCTATATTCAAGTACTTCAATTCCATTTTAGGAAAGACATAACTTAACAGGAACCTTTCAGTAACTAACTATTCCAAAAATGATTAAATAGCCAAAATTTCCACCAGATTTTGCTTTAATATTTTTATTTACATTTGAAAGAGTAAAATTTTTTATCTTAGTTTTCCTCCCGGTAACCCCCCCCCCCCATATACTATATTTGTATTTGTAAATCATTTCTCCTTCGGCTATCCTCTAATCTTCTTGCATCATCTACGTCGTGTGAAGAGCCTTGAAGGAATTACACTTACGTCCTCATAATTGCATTCTCTTTGTGCGTCCTCATAATTGCATTCTCTTTGTGCGTCCTCATTTTTAGTGCTTCATCATTATCACGTCCACTTTAACTAATCAAAAAAGTAACAGATTGGGAGCTGGGAAATTTTGTATTGGATATTCATAAACACCCAAACCTAGATCTCGATATACACTGTGGGCAATTTTAACTTGAGGATAAATACTGATACTCTTCAGTTATTCTTCCCTTGACTAAATCTATCTTCAAACCCTGACTGGGTACGATTACTATGAAGCGGGATATCGAATAAAAAGTAAATCAATCTGTAAATTAAGAAACTGAAAAGATCAAGCATTGATCTTGATATTCACAATACAAGAGTTCCCAACTCAGCTCTTGTTAGGAACACAAACTTCCCCTGTTTTATTTATATACTTGTGTTGACTGTTTGTGGTTTGTTAGAACTGAGTATGCTGCTAAATATATTAAGAAGAAGAGGGTTGAAACGAGCAGGAGAGGGGTTGCTATGGAGGATATTGAGAAGGAGATTTATATCCTTGCAGAGATGGAACATGAGAATATAATATATCTTCATCAGGTATACACACAAACCATTAGAGAGTTTACCATAAAGTGGTCGTCAAAAATAAATGGAAGAAAAGACGATATTTATATAGAAATAAAAACCTGAAAGATGTTAGTTATTGTCCCAAAGACATTTGCTTAAGCCGGATAGTTTCCTAAGTTGCAACTTCACGAATGTGAAATATTCAAAGTCCGTCCTAGCCCCAGCGCTCACCCCCTAGCATGTTCTAGTCGTAGCGCTCAGCATTGAAGCCCATTCTAGCCACAGCGCTCAGCTTAGATTGCAGCCTGCGGTGCCTGAGAAGGCTTCGCCTAAAATTTGGGAAGTTGCCACTTAGGAAATTGTCACTTGGGAATTTGTCCCTTGGGAAGTCGCCCTTGGGAAAATACCTAACTTCAACTGTAATTGTAAAGAGTATGTGCTCTTGTTAAAAAAAACATTACTAAGAAAAATTTATTTCTGGCTCTTTGTCTTTCAACTTCTTTGGAGTTATAAGCATAAAAGACTTTTTATTTAATCTATCTTGAAAATAGTGTTCTTTAGACGTGTACCTAATTTTTTTGTAGAAGAATGTAGACAGTTTAAAGCTCGGAACCATTACTGTTATGAAGATAATTTGATTAGATTCTGTACATTGCATGCAGTCTCATTGTATGAAGAAAACCATGTACACATAGACGTGTACATTTTACAGTTTACTGCTTACAGTTTACTGTTTACAGTTTACTGTTTACAGTTTCCTGTTTACTGTTTACAGTTTACACCCCAATTCTGGGTCATTTAATCAAAAGGTATTAAGTTTATTGGACATTTAAAAGTTTAAAGGCTGAATTACAATTGTATTATAACATGTGATAATATTTAATATTTAGATAAATACAATTTAAGTTTTCGAGCAAACAGGATGTTATTTTAAATTAAAAAGTCGATGTTTTTAATTTTTGCATAGCGACATCTTTAAACTAGTCTGAAAATATGTACTTTATAGTTCTTATTTCTCCGAATCCAATGAAGTATATAGAATGACAAAGAATCTGGGTTTTTGTAACAAACATAAATTTTCTAATCCTAATCTCATTGCAACCTAATAGCGTAATCCTTGGATATTTCAAACTTAAGACTTTTTGATTTAACAGAAATCTTAATCTTAAATATCAAAGTTCAGCAACATTGTGTCAAAGACTCAGTAACATTATTTTGAATGGAAGCTTGAAACATATGTGACATTTTTTAAGAATACAAGGGTTGTTAAACGGAGATTTTATGTTTTTAAAACTTCTTATCATAGTTTAATTAGGACGACGGAAAGTGGCAATTAACACATTTTACTTTCATTTAAAAGATAAGGTTACTTCTTTTACCAAGAATTATAAGGTTTAGAAGAAGCTATTAAAGATTTTATTGAGTCTGTGTATTTAAAATAAATGTCATGCTCTTAAAGTGTCATGGATGGTAAGGTGAGACACAACACATTGGATTTATAATTTAACACATTTTTGAAAAATAAATCTTGTGTCCCGTTCTCTCCGGGTTCTTATGGACTTTTCCAGGTTAGGTTAGGGCAGGATAGATAGAAGGTAACGGGAGGTTGCTATATTTAAACACTGCCTTCTAAAATTTTAAAAGAATGCAATACTCTTCATACTTGGGAACCATCTAGTAAATTTCATTGTGATATTGTGTCTATACTTTGTATAATAAAGGGTTATAATATAGGATGAAACTTCAGAGACTACTGTTATCAAATTGATTGAGTCATAGATAAATTCACGATACTTAAGTGAAAGCCTAAAACTCTTTAGATTGTATGATTTGAAGGTTGAACTTTCCTTTCTTCTTTAATTGCAGTTTTTTAATGGCAATTTTAAAGTTTTCAGAAAGAAAAAAAACAAGTTTATGGCTTACATGGAGCCATATGTGGTAGGAAAAAGACTGAATAAATTCTGCACAGTCGTCTCTCAAGTCTCATCCTTTGTGTGCAAGTTTCGATCTTACTTGATCCAGTTCTCATCTTGCTTGATCCAGTTCTCATTTTACTGGATCAAGTTCTGATCTTACTTGATCCAGTTCTGATCTTACTGGATCAAGTTTTGATCTTACTGGATCAAGTTCTGATCTTACTGGATCAAGTTCTGATCTTACTGGATCAAGTTCTGATCTTACTGGATCAAGTTCTGATCTTACTGGATCACGCTCCGATCTTCTTTATAATTCAGGCTCTTCTGGGATTAAGTTTCTGATCTTACTGGATCAAGTTCTGATCTTACTGGATCAAGTTCTGATCTTACTGGATCAAGTTCTGATCTTACTGGATCAAGTTCTGATCTTACCTGATCCAGTTCTGATATTACTGGATCACGCTCCGATCTTCTTTATAATTCAGGCTCTTCTGGGATTAAGTTTAGATTTTACTTGAGCTTTTTTCCGATCTTATTGGATCAAGTTCAGATCTAACTTGATCAAGTTCAGACCTTACTTGATCAAGTTTAGACCTCACTTGATCAAGTTAATATCTTACTAGAGCTAGTTTAGATCCTACTTGATCAAGATAAAAGCTTACTTGATCAAGATATGATGATCAAGTTCTGATCATACTTTATCAAGTCTTCTTATTTGATCGAGTTCAGATCTTACTTGAGCAAGTTCGATCTTACTCGTTCATGTTCGGTTCTTACTTGATCAAGTTCAGATCTTACTTTATCAAGTTCAGGTCTTACTTGATCAAGGTTAGATATTAATTGATCAAGTTTAGATCTTACTTAACATCGGACTAGTTTTTCCAGCGCGAAAAATCGATTCCGCTGGAAACCCATGCCAGAAATAAATTTATCAATTCACAGTTCAGATTTATATTGGTCACGTTAACATATTTGATCAAACTTTTAAAAAAACTGACAGAGACCGGTGTCTGGTCAAATCTTTGTTGTGGATTATCTATGTTCCATATCAAGATTTTGTCAGATCTTATATTAAATAGTATATATTTTGCTCCGGAACACTTCGTATATAGTTTCTACAGTTCTAGGAATAATTTAACGGGTAATTTCAAATTCCAATTAGAATATAATTAAGCAAGGCTTGTGTCCCTTTAACTACTAAAAAAACAGGTATTTTAGGAAACATAAAATACATGAAAGAGTTATTATTTCTTAATATCTTCGCAAAACCTGTTTTGACATTTAAACAGAGTGTTTTAGTTTCCAAAATATCATTCCTACGTATTATAAACAGTGTTTCGTGCCCAAAATTACCAATCTTGCATTTATTTGTGTTTTAGTGTCCAAAAATAGCATTCCTACTTATAAACAGAGTGTTTCGTGTCCAAAAATACCAATCTTACCTTTAAGAGTTAAAAAATACCATACCTACATATAAACAAAGCGTTTTAGTGTCCAAAAATACCATTCCTTCATATAGGTAGTGTGTTTTAGTGTCCAAAATACCATTTCTACATATAAACTGAGTATTTTAGTGTTCAAAATACCAGTTTTACATTTGTACAAAGTGTTTTGGTGTCCAAAAATACCATTCCTACATTTATACAGAGTGTTTCAGTGTCCAAAAATACCAATCAACATATAAACAGAGTGTTTTAGTGTCCAAAATACCATTCCTATATATCATATTAACAGTGTTTTAGTGTCCAAAATACCAGTCCTATATATTATCTTTTATAAATTTCAAGGTGAGCAATATTTTAGTTACAAAATAAAATAGATATAAATATTTATTAAATCAACATAATTTAACAAATAGCATTAAAACATAACAATTTAAATAACAAACATTTTTACACACGATTTGATAAAATAATTGCAATTTACAATTAGTTGTATTCATTATGTTCACACTAATGTTAAGTTTGTAGGGGCTATTTTTCCGAATTTGTGAATGTAAAATCCAAAATATAGATTTAATCCTCCGGAACTATACAATCGTAAAATACATAATTCAAAAATCTACTTTGCGGATTTTGCGAAACGTTTTAGTAGATGATAATTATCTGAAAACTGGAGGGGGTCGAGAAAGCAAAGGTGGAGGCATTGGTAGTAGTCCTAAAACAGTCGGAGTATTAAAAAAAATCCGTCTACAAACAAACACTTTATCTAATGTTGAATGGGGAAAAGTTAAGGTTCAGATGAATTATAAGAGAGGAAAACATTTTAACTAAAGACGCACTATGCAAGAAACTTATGAATAGCATTATATTTTCTAGTTTCTAAAAAACGTTTACTATCTAAAGAATATGACAATTTTTACCAATGGTTGCTGAAGTCGCTCTTATCATTCAAAATATTCAAATTAACTGTTCCAAAGCAGAACAAAGGAACTGATTACTCGCATCAAACTTTAAGTTTTCTAATTCATATATCTTTGCAACAAGAGATCGAAAATAATAAAAAGCGAGAAGTGGTTTAAGAGATACGGATAGTTGAACTACTTTTACGTTTAACTAACCATAGCTATTTAAACAACCTTCATTATACATTAATTCCGACCAAACCATTGTCGTAAACCTTTCATATTTCAAACTGTTGATTCTTCTAGACCCAAATATATATATTTATAGATAATACGGATATATATACAGGGTGTCCCAAAAAACATGGGAATTCAGTGACGAATTCGATATCGTCTTTGTTATGAATTAGCAGTGTAATACCTAATTTCAAAATCCATAATATTATTATGTCTGCTAGAGTTTATCTTATGAAAATGGTTAAAGACTGCAAAGATGTGTCTATAATATCTCCGCAAGATGAACAGTGAAGACGGACAAGTTTACTCTGTTTGTATACTGCAATTTTCTTTGTTTTACTAAATACAACCGTATGCAGTGAAAACATAAACAAACAAAATGTGAACATAGCAGACGAAACTCTTACAGATTACAACTTTCATAGTAGGTATCACTATACTAAATCAAAGAATTGTTTGAAAAGACGACATCGAATTCGTCACTGAATTCCCATGTTTATTGGGACACCCTGTATATAAATAATGTTTTAATGTTTTTATCAGAGTTTGAGTCTAGTGTTCAATTCCTTTGATAAGAGCATCTTACCTGGAGAAAGAGTAGGAGGTGGAATGGGAAAGTTAAAAACTTTATAGGAATGTGATCTCTGTCCCTTCTTCATTCTTTCCTCACTATCCGGAGGTGTAGGGAGGAGAGAGGCGCGACGCAGCATAGATTCACTCATTGTAAAGGATCGTGCAGGAAGGGAGGGAGTAGAGAGTGAAGGATGGGAGTAAGGGGAGTCAGGAAGGAAAACTGAAGCATAAGATTCAGGGGAGGGGGGTAGAGGCCAGGCGAGAGGAGAACAATTACTGAAAGATGAGTTTCTCCTCAGAGGTATAGGAGATGGGGAGCTTGAATTAGGAAAATGGGTCGGGGAGGCGGAACGGCGAGTGTAGGAAGGGGAGGCAGAGCGACCTTGGGCGGAGGGAGAGGAGGAACGGCGAGGGGCGGAGGGAGAGCTGGATCTTTGACCAGCAGGAGAAGAAGATTTAAAACTAAGATGAACGGGATTCATTTTCCTGAAAAAAATAGTAAATGAGACATCACCCTTTACCCTTGAATTCTACATAAGAAGATAAATTTTTGACAGTAATAACACAACAATATTTATCATTCGGGAAATTTCTCTCCCCCGAAAATGTCAAGTAAAACCAAACCCCCTCCCCCTCCTTTTTGTTCAAGGGGCAGTAATTGTATTTCAAGCATATTTCAAGTTACCCTCCACGGAAGGATGGCAATGTCCAATTTACTGAACACTTCAAAGCTTTGTCTGGCCAATTAGATATCCATGTTTTAGTTTTTATAAACTGTCTGCAATTTGTGGTTTCTCTGCAAAAGTGACTTGCGCATTTCTTGCTTATAAGAAACAAATGAGAGATGATGTGAATTGAACACTTTTCGAGTCAGAAAAATGACGTTATCCTCGACATTTTGTTCAAATTAAGGTTTTAGGAGTACCGTTATAAATCAGACATTACCATCTTTGCATGGAGGGTCTCTTGAAATTACGCGTACTGTTCCTTTAAACTAATGTCTAATAAAGAAATCACCTTTTCCTATGTGGAGTAGGTGGATTGTTGAGCATACTGAGAGCAGGAGAAGGATAAATAGATAAATCCTCCCTGTAGATCTGGAGAAGGAGAGACTGACCGCAAGGTACAGGATCCCACCAGGTCAGCTGGCTCCAGGTTACAGGTTGGATCTCCCAGGATCTATCCAATACACTCTCCAACCTTGGATAACAAATTTTATATCCTTTCTTTAACTGAAACTCACGAAAAAAAGTTTTAAAATACCAGTGAAAATATTTCATGGGCGATATTTTTTAGGGAAGTTTCATACAAATCGGGAACCTTTAATAGAAGGGATAAATATATTACCAAGGGAGAAAATCAAATATAAAGTAATAAATAAATTACCAAAGGGGAAAATCAAATACAATGGGAGAAATATATTACAAAGCGAGTAAATCAAAACAAAAGGAGAAATATATTACCAAGGGGGAAATCAAATACAAATAGAGAAATATATTACCTTAAGGTGGGAAAATCATATAAAGGAAGAAATATATTACCAAGGGGGTAAATCAAATATAATGAAAGAAAAATATTACCAAAGGGGTAAATCGAATACAAAGTATATTACCAAAGGGGTAAATCATATACAAAGGAATAAATATTGCTTCTAAGAAAAAATACAATTTTTTCATAATCATTAGGCTAAATAGTATACCATTTTAAATACATTTATTATCATGTAATATTGAAAATTTCAAAGAATAAAGTTCTGAAATAGTTTTACATGAACAAAAACTAGATAAGTCTACCTGCCCGGGAATCCACCGAAACACATCATCACAAATTGTTACAGGAAAGTAAGCCATAAAGCCAACAAACATAAATATAAACTGAATGAATGACAGATCAGCTGACGATCGTTTGAAATTGCGTACTTTGTTTACCAATACCAATATACTTTTGGATAAAATCCGGTTTTAATTTTTACGCAAACTTTGTTCGCCAAGTACTGTAATTGTTACGCTTTTTTTGTAGTTTCAAGGTGTTTATAAGAAAGGTTAGAGCAATTTAGAATGTATGTATGGAAATAGAATAGAATAGAAATGTAGGTATGTAAATAGAATAGAATAGAAATGTATGTATGGAAATAGAATAGAATAGAAATGTATGTATGGAAATAGAATACAATAGAAATGTAAACAATAAGAATGATTTTTTTATATCAAGACCTTTTGTTCTTTCATTCACGACCATAGTTTTGGTTTTCTCAATTTCTTTAAGTGCTTGATATTTCTCATTTCAAATCACAGCTCTTATCTTGATTAAGATATATTCAACTGAAAACATAGATATTGATTTTTCTTAGTTAAGACGTAAATGTTGAATAAACTACTTGTTACCTTTTTAAAAAATAAATCAAAATCATGACCTTGATTTTTCTACAGCACGGACAGCCAAAGTACATTTGAATTTCCGATCCGGGTCATCCTTTCCGGTCCCAGTTTGTACTGCACCGCACGGACATTGGTTTAATGAAGAAGCCAATCAACAGGACTAGTCGGTGCAATAAGGTTGACACTGCAGACTTTATGCTTCATATAGGTTAAATTTACTTTTACTAAAGGGGCAGAGGTGCGTGATAGTTACATACTTTGGTAGTTATGGTTTTCCTTTTCGTTCTTCGTTTCTCCTGTTTCTTTAAATTTTTAGACTTTTTAACCAGAGAGTACATTCATTGTAAAATGACATTTTCTATGAAAAGAAAAAATTCTCCCCTTGACCAATTCCTGAGTACGTCCCTGAAGCCCTCCCACCCCCACCCCCCAAAAAAAACTTCCTGTAGATGCCCCTGCGTTAATTGCAAGGTTTGTTTAATTTCAACATTTTCAGATTTTGGTTTAAATAATTATCTGTTCAAAGTGAAACAATAATATATTTAAATACCTTGTTTGTAACTGAAATTTATACATTTTCCGCTTTTTATCTGAAAGGGAGATAAGATCCTATTCCAAAGATGAAATGGTAAACCACGTATTCCTCACTTTCCCAACGGGGG